TGATCACAATGTAATAAAGTCAGACAAGATTATTTTTCAGAGGAGTTGGCAAACTGTGCCTGAATACTCAATTCATTGTCATTTCTATTCATTTTCTGCTGCACAAAAGCCTGGTGAAATTCTGCCACAGCATGTGTAACATGTTGACTTCCTGACACTGTTTTATCTCGTTAAAGAAGAACTTTATGTCCAATAGCATCTGGCAGTCAGTAGTGTTTCTAGGATATATTTAGAAACTACTATCTCAAGGAAAAAAGTTAAAGAATAAAGGAAGCATGTTTGTGTTGAGAATCGGATGAATATCCTGTTCCAGACCTACCTCCTGATTCTCCTTTTTTCTACCGGCTCTTTCTTTTTTTCTGTGGATTAATACAAATGGTTCTGAGCTGATATTACTGAGGGCAAACCCAGCTCTGGGTACAAACTAAAATGCAGCCTAATCCTATAATCTACTCTCACTCAAGCCATTCCATTTTACACAGTGCTGTTAATGCAAACTGCACATTGTTGCTTCTCAAATTATACTTTGTTTTCCATACACACACACACAAAAATAAAAATATAAGTGCATCACACACGCTTAAAACACATAATCCACAATCTGCACTTTATGACATAGATACACATGTATATGGGTTTATATATGATGAAGATTATGTCACAGCAGTAAGCCATTGAGTGCATTTCACTGTCAGAACCGCACCAAACAGTACCTGGCACAAGCATGTACTTTCATGATTAACACCAGGGGGTTGTCAGATTGCTATATCTGAAATAAACAGATTTACCCTGACAGATAATCAGCATTTTGCACTGCCTAATACATGTTTATCTTTCACTATCGACATAATTACACTAAAAGTGCACTTAATATAATCTTTCATAGGAAATTAAATGGGTTTGAATGATATACTTATAATGGATTGGGGACAAAGTATGAAGGAGAGAAATATCAATACTAGATGTTTTGGGAGAACACATACATGAAGCAATGACGAGGGAATCAATGAACACCAGAAAAAGATCAATGGCAGTCTGTGTTTAAGGAATTCATTTACATAGTTTCCAAAGAAATCAGAAAAATCCTACAAAGCTGTGAAATACCCTCTTGATTTTTTCATGTCCTGATGCTTCTTTTCTTCTGACATGTGCTATGTGCTCTCCTCTCACACACAAAAAGCTAAGAAGGAGAGTCTTCTTAGGGGGAGTTTTATATTTGTCTGATTCATAGTCAACTCTTTCAAAAGTTTGCAATCTGGCTTTTGAACTTGGGGACTGGAAACTCATAGTGGCCTGCATGGATACCACTTTCAGAAGGAAATTCAGCAAGCTCTGAATTAGCACCTATCACCCGAGAGGCTAAGAGCATAGACAGGCATGCCATTTTAAGAGCCGTAGAAATTAACACGTGCTGATCCATAGGCATCAGGCCTTAAGGATATTAAATTAGGACCTGAGAAGCAGAATTAGGTGAAAATATTAATTTAAATCAACATTATAAATGTGACCCCCAGCATAGGAAGTGTCTTTCTTTAAGGATATGCTAATTTACAACTGTGGTCTGCTCACTGCCTATGAGAAGACCTAAGAATTTTAAGCCTCACTTTGTTAGTAACAGCACTTTGATGTCCCGTAAATCTCTTTTCTTTTCTTAGCTACAAAATAAAATGAAGTCATGAAAAATTTAAATACCCATGTCTGTGAGTGGGATCCAGGGTACTATAAATTTGATTTTGAACAGAAAACAAAATGAGGATAAAGAGGTACTTCTAATGTCTTCAGTGAACTTAGCATTGTTTTGGGCATGTAGCAGACATTATTTTATTTCTTTACTATAAAGCTGAGAAATGGGTATTTTTTCCATCTAAGGAAGCTGAAGCTCAGAGAGATTCAATAATACTCCCCATATATTGTGTTCCAACCAAGGTCTGTCTGTCTGAAACTAGTACTCTTTCTGTTTCATTATGTTTTCTCTGTAAATTCAGTTTACATGATTTTTAAATGTCTTTGGCTTTTGTTTTCCAATGAAGAATGTAGAATTTTAAACCAAGGTCCTACATCTCTCTCATCAATTAGAAATACATATCCACAGTCACCCGTAGGCTGCTCCATCCCTCTCTGAAACTGATAACACCCCAGAAGCCAGTATACAATGACTTTTCACTTGCTAATCAAAAGGATTTCACAAATACTCTAACATCTCAATGGCTAAAGGCTGAAAAAATGGAATGACTAAGAGTTGAGAAACAAAATGCGTCTAGCATGTGGTTAGAGTACCTCAATGGGTGGAAAATCTATGTGTTTAGTTCTTTTACCTACTCCGAATCTTTGGAGGAACTGGAACCTTTCCCCTGGACCTTGGCACCCAGAAAGGGATAGAAAGTTCTGCTTTCTATCCACATTGGTGGACCCCAAACTGCTTTTTCTGTTTTGCTCCTGCCAGCACTGCCTCCTGAGGTCCATGTCTCATTGTTCCAGGAGCATGCTGGCTGGAGATCATTGTACCTTGGAAGCTGCCCTGAAACTCACTTCTCTGACAGGCTCTATCTCCATATTGGTTCGGTGATAGTGTCTACCTGGGTAAAACTGGATTTGCAAAATTCCTTTTAGAACCTGATTTATGGTTGTAAACTCTTTCTGTAGATTTCTTATTGGATTGACTATTCCATAGTTTGCCTTAAAAGCCACCTTACATTCTCTTTGCTTTCATCGTTGCTTAGGAGCCTAACTCCTCTGAACATATTCATTTCTGGAGAGTCAAAGCTTTAGGATGAAGAACAATTTCTCTTTAAGATTAATTATTATTTCTATTTCATTTATAGTATCTGAAGATTTAGTGACAGAGGTTTAAAGAGCTGAAAACTGAAGTTAATAAAAAATTGCCAAAGTCTGAATTCTTTAAAATCTCCTAAACCCTCCTCTCCTCATCTTTCTTCCCCATTCCCCCACTATATTCTATATTTCTCTATTTTTCTCTTTGTCTTTCGGTCTCCTTCTTTTCTTAACTTTTCACCTTGGTTCTTTTGCCAGTTGCCTCTCCTTTTAACTTCCAAAAAGAGAAATCATAGTATATATTTTTTTTATCCATTGGAATAATTTCCTTTCTTGTCGCAATTTTTAAAATTAAGCATGTGTAAATTTTAATACACTGTCAGAGAGCATAGGCTCAGTATTTGGAATATAGCTAAGTCTCAAGAAATGTGTTGGACGGATAGATGTTCCTCTCATTGCTCCTGAAACAATTTTTAAAAATATATAACCTAAGCTAACTCGATTTTTACAAAATTCAATCAACCATTCAAATATTAATCAAGAGTAGGCTCTAGTCTCAGTGCTGAGGCTAGGACTGTGGAGGACACAGATTAAGTATGATTTTCACTCTCAGGTAGTTTACAAACTACTGGGAGTACAAGAATATGACCCATGAAACAACCTGGGGAATATGAAAAAAGAACACAATTAGAGGCTGACTTGTGTGATATAAACTGCAGGCATTGTGAATGCACAGAAAAGAGGTCTCAATGCAAAAAGGGCGCTTGATCAATTTTTCTGGGAGAAAATAGAAGGAACTATATATAACAACAACCATAAAACAACAACAGTAACAAATGGACCTTCTAATCCTGGTACATCTTATCTAATGAAGTTTTGCTTACCAAAATGTACATCTTATCTACTGAAGTTTTAGTTCTGAGCTTGAATATGTTAACTGTCCAGTCTGAACTGATTGCTAGTACATTTCAGAGTTAAGTTGTTTAAATATTTTTTGCACACCTTCCTCAGCAAGAAAAATCCCTTGGTTTTATATTTAATTGCAGGAAGTTGACATCTTTTTAGATGGGGAGTTCGGTATTGCAGCCAAAGAATTTAGTAATGAGGGACATGTTCTTCAAATGGTTGTAGGGCTGTTTTAACTCCATTAGATGTTTCTATCAGCACAGACTCAAAGTCACCATCCTCTGTTCTCTTCTCACCACTCTTCTCTTCACTCTCCTTTCTATTTTTTTTTTTTTTCCTTTCAAGGAGAGAGTATCAACCAAGTAATGGAGAAATCAAATCTGAAAAGAATGTCTCACAGACTAAGGGACTCACTCAGCAAGAGATGATGACGGGGTTAGCTCAAATTTAAATTAATTCCCAACCTTTCCCATACCAATGGTCGACATCTAACTTGGCTAATTCGAGCAAAACTGATATATTAAAATAACTTTAAAGGTAGGTTCTTGTGCTTTTTGCCTGCCAGCAGATAGAGCTTGTGAATATACAGGGCAGTCCGTCTGCCTGGTACTTCAAAGAAGATCTAAAAAGAATGCTGGTATCACAGAAGACCATCAAAATTGTTTTCCATTTGTTACTTGAGAAATGTGTAGCTTGCTTAATTGCTACTGACCCGTGTTCTGCATACTACTGCCACTTGATTATGTGTTGATGCTGTTTGGGTTTTGGCTTATATTAGATATCTGATATCCACAGGTCAAACAAACACCGTCTTTGAATCACATCCCTATGGGTTACATACATAATAGTTCATCTTTTCACAGTGGGAGGAAAGAAAGTGGGAGACAATTCAAAGGCTATCCCAAATAAACAGACAGAAGTAAGGCCACAAATGCTACCCTGTGCAGACCTGTTCTTACTCAGTTCTCCTTAAGGAGATAACAACTACTGACACAAGAAGAGATAATTATGTTCAGTGTTTCACCATCAGACCGTTTCAACATGCATTGTTACTTCATTTTCTTTATCTCCTTTTCTAATGTGCTGGTGTATTTTGGCTGGGGAAATTTTCATTCAGATGCATCCAGTGCAGTGAAAAATGAGGAAAAGAGCCACAACTACCCAGAATATTTTGAAGAAAGGTATGACAAGACAGAAAAAAAAATATTTTTTTTCTGATGTGAACAGTTGTTTGCATCAAAATTTTAATTGTTATCAGATCTTCAATGGAGTTGCTAGGAAAGGTAGTCAGATAAAGCCTCAGGTTAATTTCCATCATTACTGAACACTTTACACCACTGACAAATTTTAAACATATAAAGAGATGTCAATCTTGCTCTTTAGACAGAAAAACAAGGTGGGGAGTGGTGGCTCTTCAAAGGCTGTCAGTAGACAAGTCAGTCAATTACAGATCTGATTTAGTTCTTAACTCCTTGAGGTAAAAGACAAATGTTCTGCAAGAGTAACCATTCCTGACATGCATTAAATGAAACAACTTTTAAAAACTGTGTGATCATGATAATGCAGATTGAGGTGAAGAGCTTTGAAAAGAGTTGAAAAATCAGGATCAGATATATGAATCCAGATGACAAATGGGTAAATTGAAGCAGTTTTGCTATTTGTGGGGAGTGGAATGTCCCTACTATTAGTCATCAGAGATTTAGGAAGGCATTATTGTGTGATTTTTCAAAGCCAGGAACAGACTAAATGAATTCACATCCCAGTTCTACCCCGACTGTGTGGCCTTGGCTAAGTTACTTAACCTCTCTGTACCTCTCTTTATCTTTGAAATGGGGATGATGGTTTCACTGATCCCTTAGTGGTGGTGTACAAATTTAAGTTATTACCTATAAAGCAAAATCTGTAGGGTTTTCACTCAATATCATAGTCAATCCGTATGCAGCAATAACTTCCATGATTTAGAAATATATATGGCATTATAGAATCCTTCCTGAAATTTAAAATATTTACAGATGATATTGGCAGTGAATGTCTGCTGATGACGCACATCATTTCCCTTTAAGCAGGGTTGCAAGTTTCTATGGCCCCAGTGAACACTCCTGAAGTTAGATAGAACTTATTAACATCTTCCAGAGCATCCTCTTAAGATGATAATTTATCTTTTTAACTGTATTCAGTAAAAGCAGCAGAAAAGAGCCAGGTGGGAATAACAACCTGGTATTATATATAGCCATAAAGTTTACCAGTTCTATAGATTCTGCTGCAAGGCACACTAAAATGGAGTAAAATGTAACTTATCTTGAACAGTTGCTTGAATGAGTTACTAGAGGAATGGCAAGTTTACAGATGAAGCAAAAGAAACCCAAGGGAGTTGAAGGTTGTGACCATTTTATTTAGGATGCATAGTTGTAAAACCTAACTTAAGGCATACAAGAGTTAGGTCTTTGGAGAGTTTTCTCGGAGGTTTGCAAACAAATATGAAAGTCTATAAAATATGTGCTTTTGAAATAACTCTCTGTGAAACGATGGTTTGAGGGTCCATGGGGAGTGCCTTTATACCTGTCAAACCCTAGTAATTTGGTTGAAAAGAGAATGCCTGGTTGTTTGCATTTTCCCTGTCCCCAAAAGATCTCCTTGGCCACTTTTTGTATCTATCCTCAGCTTGACTGCTGACAGAGTATTCCATGGAATTCCTTTGTTCTGAAAGGGCATCCTTTAGTTTCACACTAGTCTCAAGTTCACATAACCAGGCAATCCCATACACCTTTCCATCTGTTCAGGTTTTCCTGTGTAGGGTGCTGTTCTCAAACTCGTTTTAAATATGAAATTGTCATCCTTTACTGTTAGTAAAGGATCCTTTTCTTTCCCTGTAATGCTGAAGGTGTGAATGGAATTCTCCAGCGACAGTGTCTGTGAAGAAGATATTCATGGACAACTACATGGCTCAAATAGATAAATTCAATTAGCCCTTCCTGGAAAGCCTCAGTTTACTTTACAACTCAGTATTTTAAAGAATTTTAAAGAAATTCTAATTACTGCGTAAGAAATAAGTCAAATTCCTCTTCTCTCACTGCGAAGGGCTTTTATTACCCACTGCTATAAAACATATATCTTTTTTTTTTTCTGTTGCTATCCTAGCTGGGTAGCTTGCATACCAATAGGATCACTAAAATGCCACGAAGCAGAACATATTTATCTGTTAAATTCTACGTACAGTAACCTAACAAATGCCAGAGACAGAAAGATTGCCCTCTGCACAGTAATACTTGTGTAGATGTTTTCTTTATGCTAACAATGACAGGGCTTCATGCCTTGTACTGTACTCAAAAATCAGGGTGCATTTTTTTTTTCAACAGAAGACTCCATATCAAAAAGAAAAAGAACTGCACATTTTTGGCGTTGAGATATTTTATGTGGATAATAAATTTTTTTCCCTCGAACTCCACTAACAAGTATCTACCTAGAAGATGAAATGTAAGATTTATGTCATCAGAACTATTCAGTATACCAGAGGATAATTTTTTCTTCTTTTCAGGACTGTCAACTTTGTTTACTGTTTATGTTCAATTCTATCCTATATAAGAGATTAAATTGCCTTGTCATAGCCACATGTCAAAGCCTTCTTAGAAAAATAAGATAATACATGCAAAATTATATTAATAAGGAGTACTTTCAAAGACATATTACATTTATTGAAATCTAAATTATAACTGGAATGTTCTAATTATATTTGTACTAGTCAAAAAGAGATTTTTAAAGTATATAATGTTATGACACCTTAGTATGTTTTAAAATTGATGTGACTAAAGAATGATTAAAATATTATAAGGAACTTCAAGGAGACACATATGAAGTAATGTAAGCCCAGGAATTGCTTACATAAATCACCATGTATGTTGTCAAATCTGCTAGCCTGTTACATGCATTTTTAATCCAAACTTAATCATTTGGCTATTGAAATCATTCTAAAAAACTGATCTCAAACAGTGTTATACAAACATCGGGGTTTTTAAAAGCCTTGCTACATTTAAACTTTTTCATAATACAATTTCAATCTCAAAACAATAAATAATCACATGGATAATGACAGTAACTGAATCCTAACTAATTGTAATACTTCTGCATAGCCTAGTAACAATTTAAAAATGGTGAAGAATAAATCTGTTTGACAGGCCTGTTAGCAATAAGGCCTTCAGCTTTTTGCTTTGCAGCAAAATGAAGTAAAATCTATGATTTTATTGCTGTTGTTAGAAACATTTCGACAGTTAGTTATTTTTCACAGAAAATGCTGCAGGAGGGACTCTCCAGGTTGGAAAAAAAAAAAAAAAAAATCTTAACACGGTTGAATTTTACACTTGGCTATTATTGGCCAGCATATATAATAAGTTAAAACATACTGAGAAATTAATATTTTTCTAAGAGGGAAAACTTGATAGAGGATTATATTTCTACATTACAGAGTGGATACTCTAATCTTTCTGGCATTGTAAAACTGAAGCTGGCTGCAGGGAAAATAAACATTATAATAACCGGCACTTAAACAATTGTACCTATATGGCTAAGTAACAAAAGCGTGAGGCACCTGGAATCACAGTATTTGTGCCTAATGCCAGCAACAATATAAAGCATTCAAGTGACATTTGATAATGAGCAGACAGTGGAGGCATTACACACGTCTTTAGAAGAATCAGACTTCCTACCTTGAAAAGGCAGATGGAGGTAAGTTCCTTTATAAAAAAAAAGTTGTAAGTAAAGCCAGGCAGCAGTTGCAGTAAATTGAGTCCTTTCAGTCACTGTATACATACAGCAGTTCTGCAATAAGGGGAAAAATATAATGGGAGGAGCGGCTGTGAACGAGTGACCTCCTCAAGCTGAGTCCTCTCTGTGAACCAGGCATTGAGAGCCACGGCTCCTGATTTGCATGGATTATCTCCACTTGAACAGATACAGAGCAGATACATTTAAATTGAGCTGGCACAATGGCAAAAAGATGGAAGAGTGCATGAATGAGGGACAGCGCAAGAGAGGGAGAGAGAAAGAGAAACAGACACGAGATCGGAGAGCGTGGATAAGCTGGTTCTTGCAGAACTGTGTCTCAGAAGAGCTACAGCTCCCTCTTCATGTCACAGTTGTAAGATAAGAAATGTTGTCATTAAGAACTGGTTAATCATAGAGCAAAATATACTCAGATTAGCTGATGTTCGGTCCGATTCGATTTTTACGAACATGTTATGATTCTCCCTATTTTGTCATTAGGATTTTAGACAGCATACCCAAAATCTTTTATTAGTGGCCAGGTAAACAGGTTTGGATGAAATTCTGAGTTTTGAATGAGATCAGTGTTTTGGCTTGAATGGCATAGACAGCAGTGAAAGAATACAGACAATTAGTTAAGTGGAATATTTATTTTGAAAGAAAATAAATCCCTGTTAACTTTCAATGAGCCAGTGATATGTACTACAATGTAAATAGAAAATAGTACTTAAATATTTCTTAATGATTGTCTGAAAAGAACCCAATTGTACTACTGAATGGGAGCTTTTCAAAAATCTCTTTAAGTTGCTATTTTTGTTTTTCATATTGCTTCTTATTGGCATTTCAGGGTAAAAGAAATCCCTCTCTTTGTACAATACAGATGTATCTTTAAATAAACAATGACTATTAACTTATTCATTTAGCATCTTTAGAGTTTTCTGGGTTGTTTTATATTCATATTCTTGTTTTAAAAATGAGAAAGAGGAGAGGGCAAATACGATGATAACTCTTGCCAACAGCCACTCAATATAGGCCCATAGCAGATCTCAGAAGAAAATAATAACCCTCTTTTAGGAAGCTAATGTGAAGCCTGCCTTCTCTTTGTGTAAAAGTGTCTGCAGATACTTAAATAGCCTGGCAATTAGGTGAATTCAAAGGAAAAATCAGTCAGTCAAACCTACTAGTTGACTGCATTGCTCATAGTCTCGTAGGAGCCAGCATTAATGTGGTGTGAACCAAGTGGTATAGGTTAAATATATTTCAACAAATGGCATTACAACTCTCAACATAAACATATGAGCATATTTGCAGAGAGTAGTAAGGAGTTCAGTTAGATTTTTGCTGCTATTGGGACTCTACAGACTGTCAGGAAAGATAAAAAAAATTTAAATACACTACACTTATAAGAACTCTGACTTGATGGACAGAAGTGATACTTTAAAATAAATCTCAAGGAAAATGCCAACACACACTTGCATGAGATTTACTGAAGATCTGGAGTTTCTGAAGTATGCAAGCGTAGTGACTTTAACAGTGTTTAGGAAACAATTGCCTGAAAGTAAGAGGGTGGAGACAATAGTTATTTTATGTCTCTGACATCCAATAGTCTGATTGCTCTCTAAGTGGATGGGTGACTTCTCAGGTTTTTTTCTATCTATTTGGATACAGCTTGTACGCAGGCTGGACTTGTAATATTACTGAGGTCTTAATATTACTTTTCAGGTTGTAAACACTTTTGAATCAAGGACCATATGATTTCCTCTAAAACATCTCCCTAAATATTTTGAAATTGTCCTTTACCTATTGTAGATGTTTCATAAATTTTTGCTGAAAAAATATTGAAAATAACAGCAAAGTGTTTATATTTCCTATACCTGTCATTTAAGGTAAAAATTGGATTCAGAAATTATGATGTCTTCTGTACTCTCATGAATAGAAAAGGAAAGGTAAATACAAATATCTTGTCATATAAAGCAAAGTGATAATAGTACCAGTAGTGCTAGATTATATATCGACATGGAACTATAATTTAGGCCCCCTTCTTTAAACCAGGGGATGCCTTCCCGATGGCATATTTAGTGGTATGAGTCACAGCTTTCTGGGCACCAGTTTTGTGACTCAGACATTTATCTGTTCGACCATGGGCAAGTTAACTAACTTCCTTATAAAATGTGGATAATAAAATAACCTTACTTATATGGTTGATGTAAGAAATAAAGGAAGAGGCTTAGCATAGCCCCTGGGTAAACACTTAATCAGTGTAAAATATAATTATAATTATTACAAATCTGTTTCCATTGAACTTCATTGTCTATCTCTAAACCGGAAGTGTTATTATGGTGTCTACTGAATGTAGAAAAAAGATGACTGCTTGTTATTGGCTTTTTCTGGTCATTGCATGAGAGGGGGCTCCTTCCTGTTCACTGACAACCAGAAAGAAGGGTGTTTTTACCTTTTCATAAAAGACAAAAATAGAAATACTGTTCCCAGGAGAACCACAGAGTGTTGTAGCAGCAGATCCAACCTTCTGTACAGGAATGGAAATGGCTTGTGTGGTACAATGTGAAGGGCACCCAGAAGCACTCTGGTCCAGAAATATCTTCCCATCTGTCTTCTCCTATTTCCTGAAATGCCACCATTAGGGGTTCATTTCTATGTTTTACTGGCTTCCCAGTCTCTTTTTCAATTCACTCACTACTGGCAAAATTAACACATGAATGAATTTACACTTAGAGTGACACATGAATTCACAGTAGTTCTAATTATTCTATCAGCGGTACTTTCTTGTAGTAACAAGGTTGAAGATCAGCATGCCAAGGAAAGGTCAGATTTCAGTTAAGGTAGAGAGAAAGCTCCTTTGGCGTATGTGGCACTGTGTAGGGGTAATGAGGATGGTGCCCCACCTGTGCTGCTAGTGTGGGAGGGACCCTGCAGCAGGAACTCAGAGGGTGACTGTGAAGGAGGTGGCCTCCTGGTTCACTAGAATGAGGAGGAGGGATTCATTCATTCATTCAATAAAAATGCGGTGTTTTGTCAGCAAGTACCTAGGGTATATATATGAAAATGTATGATACTTGCCTTCAGTTGTTAGCAAAAGTGATGGAAACAGGTATGTAAACAGATTGATACTAATATTGAACAACTGTACAAAGAAAAAACAAACAGAGAAAAGAAAGCAAAGAAGGCAAAACACCGTTGGGGGTAATTAAGGAGTTCTCTATAAGCTAGATGATGCGTGATGTGACTCTTGATGACAGAGTAGGAGCTGTTTGGGCAAATAAGGGATGCAGGAGGAGAAGGCCAGGGTGAACGAACATGAGGACAGAGACAGGGCAGCAGGAGAGAGCGCCACGAGCTGGGGCAATCAGTGGCATATGCTCAGAGCATAGAGTAGAGGATCAGTGGGAAATGGGACAGACCAGCTGGAATGTTAGGGCATGACTGGGGAGCAGGTCACAGAAAGGAGAAACACTGGGCATAAGCATGATGGATCATTTGTACCTCCTGGGCCTCAGCCTTCAGCTTGCACATGTGTTCTTCCAGGCTCCCAGACCTGGGAACACACACATAGAGAAATGTTTAAATGACAAGAAGAGCTGTCTACCATGACAAAAAGGGGGATATGGTGCCAATTAGATTAGAGATCTAAGTATTTAGGGAGTGGAAATGTGCCAAAATTGTTTGTGAGTATCTGCCACCCCATTTCCTAACCCAAAATGGGTATATACTTATATGAATTTAAATTAATTGTATTTGGAGACTTCGGGCGCAGCAAATCAAGGTGGGAATTGCTGCTGGAGTCCTGGAACTCATTTAGCTTAGAAAAAATATCGCACTTTGAAATCCTTAGTGAGACAGATTACCAGCATTAATGCCATTAATACTAATGATGGGTAATAATTGGAAAATTATATTTATAAAACAATGATAACAGAGTCAAATCAAATAGCAAACCTCCCAAGTCTAATATAAGACACTATATTATAAGCTTCCCATTCTCTTCTATTGCTTGAATTTTAGTTATTTTGACATATTTATCCAGAAAATATTGAAGTTTCTATACTTAACCCAGGAATGACAAATTGCTTCTTGTAAATATTACGCTTACAGTAAAATTCACTCTAAGATAAATGATTACATAGATATTGGACCCAGTAGTGGGAAATACATTTGAATTCTAATAAGGACTGGTTTAAGCTTAAAAACAATTAATAACTGTCAATTTCCCATAAACACAATGACAAGTAAAACCTCCTTTTTTTTAGGCACCCAAACCACAAATGATTAAAAAAGTATGCTGATTAACAGAATGACTGAATATATTAGGATTATTTTAAATTATCTTTCGATTGTAGCCCTCCCTCCTCACCCCCACTGGCTACAACGAAGGTTGAAAGAGTGGTTTCATTCAACATTCCATTCTTTCCCAAATATTTTAAAACTATTTAAAGTTCCATAGCAGCCAGGGAGGTATGCTATTTGAGTTTCCCTTCAATAAAAAACCTTGTGGTTCTCCGGCAGGGAATGAAGTTAGCTAACAGACTCCACCTTCAGAATTCACCTTATCAGGTAGTTCTTAGATAGTGACTAAGATTAATGGGGTTCTTTCGGCCTGTCTGTTTCCGCCCAGTGCAGAATTCCTCTCATGGGCAGCTTTTATTCCTAGTTCCCTTTGGGTTGGTCAAGACTCTCAGATTTGCATTGTGGTCTGAGCCTTACCTGCTCAACCCCTGACTTTTTCCTGTTTTGATTTTCAGAGGTTTGGGTCCCTGATCAAACTCTTAAGACTCTTACATCCCTGTTCCCTTTCAGTGTTTGCTTCCCAGCAGACACAAGTTCCTAACGATTAACAATTTTTTATGTGACGCAGAACCAACCCTTTTTTCTCACTCCTTCACTTCAATGTTCACAGAACTGGGTTCTTGCTCTCATGTATCCATAGGACTCCTAGACAGCTCCACAGCCATGTCTACTTCCCAGATATTCTTAATTCTGAAACAATATTCTTTGCCGAGGTAAAGGTTCTTCAGAACTTGCTCCCACTGAATGGGTTCTCAGATTACTTCTTTGTTTCCATATCTCTGGTGTACTGAGTACAAAACATAGTCACTCTACCAAACAAAGAATTGAATACCCCAACAGACTTATTAGACTAACTGCAACAGACAGACAGGCAGCACAAACAACAGGTTGATGTACTTAGATCAATAAGGCTCTGGAAGACATTCAGGTTCAGTGCTGAAAGAAGTTCACATTAAGGAGGGTTTGAAAGATGTAAGAGAATCTAAAAGGATCTTGCTGGTAGGTAGTGTGAATTCTTTGTGATATAAAGAGTGACAGAGAAAACTGGATGAAGCTTTAGGAATGAAGTCGTTAGTGAAAATGATTGGGCACTGGGATTTTAAATTCAATTCCTAGCTCTACTACCAAGGTACTTACATGTTTCCATTGCAAAAAGGATAATAACTTGCCGTTGTATTCCATTTGTAAAACACTACCTGTTTCCCAGACAATGACATTGCTTAACAATAAAGGCATATCACTATTACAGAATCCCTTGCATTTTAGATTCTAAGATGAACGTCAAGGAGGAAAATAATCCTTTTGAAAAACTCTGGCGTCTGCAAGCCATTCCTAAAGAAAGCTAGAAAGCCAAGTGACTTATGCGAAGAAGGTATCTACCTGAACTCTGAACCCTAAAAAATAGGTCTCCATAACACCTGCTATCACTCAAGAAGTAAGTATATTATTAACTTGTATATACAGATATAACTATCTCAAGTAAAATTGCAATAATTTGTTGTTCCAGGTTAAGTAAATAAGAATCCAACACCCTTAAAAAGTTACTCCAAATATTTATAATGTTCAAAAAATTTAAAAAATAATGCTCATTTTGACAATTTCTTGCATATGCCCATCCTAATTCTAATCTTTGATTTGAAGCAATAGTTTGCTCCACCTGCAAATGCAGGTTACAGACACTAAGTGTGTAAGGATTCTGATTCGTTTGTTAAGAGAATGGAGGAAGACCAAGAGATCACGGCATTTGCTGACTGAGCTGTATTTTAGTTTCTCTTCCAATCAATTCTTTCATTCATTTATTTCTTTAGTAAATATGTATTCAATATCTACTGTCTGGGGATACAGTGGTGAACAAAGAGAGACTTGTTTCCTTTCCTTGTGGGGTTTATTAGCTAGCAAGGAATAAGTAACTATATTAAATAATATGCTAGATTGCAAAACCTGCAACAATAATTGATAACTTCCATAGAGGAGTGGAGTCTATTTTCTCATCCCTTGATTCTGGACTAGTTTTGTGACTTAGTTTGACCAAAAGAATTTGACAGAAGTTAAATTGTACCTGTCTTCCCAGGGTCTTGCAACGTCTGCTCACTCCCTTGGAACAATTTGGCTGCTACGTAAACAATCTCAGGCCAGCCTGTGAAGGATGAGAGACAACATGGTGAAAGACCCCAGTCATCTCAGAAATCTCAGATTGGGGCATCATAAATTATTCAGTTCCTGCTGACCCCCCTAGCAAATTGCAGATGCATGAGCTTGCCCAACCTAGTGGCCAGTCAAAGCCAGTCATCAATCTGCAAAATCATGAACTAAATACATGGTTTTTTTTTTTTTGTTTGTTTGTTTTAAGTTTGGTTTGGTTTTAAGTCACTAACTTTTGGGGGCATCTACAAAAGCAGACTAACACAAATGACAAAAAGAGCTATGATAGGAATAAACTTAGGGCACAGAGCACAGAGATATGTTAATCCAATCTATTGATGTCAGGGAAGTCTGCCAGAAGGAAATGACATTCAACCTGAGATGGATGGAGCCAGAGTGGCAGCTAGCTAATGACCTTGACCTCAGTGATGTAAAAGCTTTATAGGAAAGAAGGCATTCCTACCACATACATCAGGAATAACTGCAGACACTCAAGCCAAAAACCTTGAAATTGCCCTTGACTCTACTTTTACTTCTCACATAAAATCCTCTGTAAATTCTGTCATTTTTATCTACAAATATATCTAAGATCCAGCCATTTTTCACTATCCCCACTACTATTTTTCAGATACAGAACACATACTCACCTGAATCAGCTCCTTATGTCCTGTGGTCTCTGAGATAAGAAAGACTTCCTGCTTCCCTGTAGTCTACTTCCACCACAGAAACTAGAAAAAGCCAGCTAAACAACAAGTTAGATGTCATTCTTCTGCTGAAAACCCTCTGTAGTGAGTTGAATTGTCCCGACCACCCCAGAAGATATCCAGATCCTCTGGAATCTGTGAATGTGACCTTATTTGAAAAAAAAAAAAAAATCTTTGAAGATGTAATTAAGGATCTTAAGATGAGATCATCTTGTATTACCCAGATGGGCTCTAAATCCAGTGACAAGTGCCCTTATAAGGTACAGAAGGAGAGGATGCAGTGACACTGAGGAGAAGGCCACCAGAACACTGAGGCAGAGATTGGAGTGACATAGTCCCAAGCCAAGAAATGCCTGGAGCCATGGGAAGCCAATTAAGGTAAGGAGGAAATCTCCCTTAAAGTCCTTGGAGGCAGCACAAGTCTACTAACATCTTGAGTTTGGACTTCTGCCCTCCAGAAGAACTATGGGAGAATACATTTCAGTGGTTTTAAGTCATTTACTTTAAGAATCTGTTATGGCAGCTCCAGGAAACGAATACATCTTCCAAAGGTTTCTTATCTCTTTCAGAGTAAAACATAACCGCTGAAGTCCTAACATTGGCTCACAAGGCCATGCCTGGACTCCCTGCCCCTACATCTGACCTATCTGACACCATATGGAGCACTCTCCCTACTCTCAGCGTGTGAGCGTCTCTGATCTTCTTACTGTTCCTCCATCCCATAAAGTATACTGCCTTCTCAGGGTCTTTGTGTTTATTGTTCCTTCTGCCTTGCATGGTCTTCCCCTGGATATTCCACCTGTCTGACTCTTTCAGAATTTTCCCCAAAAATGTCTTTCACGTAGTGAAGACCCCCTGAACACCCCATTAAAATTCCACCCATTGTCCACTAACTTCCATCCTTTGCCCAGCCCTCTCCATCTTCTCTGCCTTACCTCTCTTTACAAACCTCATCACCTTTGACCCAATATATGTTCTATTTATTCATTTATTTGTTTAGTGTCTTCCCAACTAAAATCTGAGCTCCATGAGAGAGAGATCTTTGACTTTTCCTCACTACTTTATATGCAGCGTTTAGGATAGATGCCCAGTGAATAACTGTTCAATTTAATAAATAATATGTTTACAATGTAAGGAAATTATTTATATGGAGAATCTGGAAACTCTTGACTTTCTCTACTTCTTCTGGGAAACATTTCCAAATCTCTCTAGAATTCCCATTAATGACTGAATTGAACTCATGCTGCTAATTCTCTGGAGTAAAAGAGCACAGATGCTCTAATTTTACAGGACAATGTCACTATTCTGTTATGGCAAGAGGATCATATACAATTTGTACTTTGAAGCCCCTTGGTTTTAACTTGTCACTTTACATTTGACTTCATGCTAGGTTCCAGAACTCTGAGTGAAATAGTAATGAGGGAATAGCAGCAGCACTAACAACAGGTAATGCAAGTTGAAATTTAGGAGCTTTTTAGAAGGTTCGAAGGGAACAGGATGAAAAGGTGGATACACATGTAAAGTGGACTTGGGATGAGGGACAGAGAACCTGTGTCCTTTGCTGATTTTCTTTGATGGGATTTCAAAGAATTTAGGGCATATTCTTAGAGATTGATAGCTTCTAAGCCTCCATTACATATATGCGTGGAGTATAAACACACAGAGTTTGCACTAACCTTTACAGTTCATACTTTCTATATAGGGGACTATGAACCAAAAGCCCAACATCAAATGTATTTGGCAATTAAAATAGCTAATATAGATATAGATATAGAGTATGCATATATATGTGTACCTATTTCTCCAAAATAGATGAGACAATATAAATAAAGCATTATAAGGCATCTTTTGCCCCATCCTCAGTCATCAGAAGAGGAAAATGGATAAAACAGAAAGCTTCAGAAGCTCCTGTCACCATATCCAGGCTATTTTGCTTTAGTATGCAACTTCAGAGATGTCTGCATAGCAACAAAAACTGGGACAATACTTCTGTCCTTTGAAAAGCAAGAGGAGAGCTGAAATGAAATTATAAGCAATGAGCAGGAACATAAATGAGAGGCTGTATTCCAGAAGTGGAATTAGTTCAACTAAACTGAAGTCTAACATAGTAAAGGAGTTTACAATGTTGTGGTATTTTAATTAGGGCTGGAGTTTGGGTTAGATTCAGATAAAAATCCTCAACTGCTTATCCCTGGCATACCAGCACTGCCCAAACATCTTGGTTTGCAAAATTAGGCTGGGAATAGCGCCCAAACAGGATTTCTGAAAAGATTCTTGTGACTTTCTTTTTTGACTAAGGCTTGAAATTCTGTAAAGATTGCAAGAAACTCCCCACTTTTTTTTTTTTAATGTTTTGGCTAGAAGCTGGGAGTGAAATAACATAAAATGTTTATGTGTACTTGCAATAAAAGTTACCTACACTAGTTTATGTATTAAAACAAGGTTTGAGTGATTTTTTTTATTTTCTCAAGACATATACTACAGAAAAGCAGACTTACCTATATGCTTCAGTTTGATGACAAAAGGTAATAAATAGATAAGCATTTAAATAAAACTTCCAGTTAATCTGGAAATTAGTCATACATGAGAATATGAAGAATTCAATGAGAATTAAAAAACACATTGTAGCATTAACAAATTTCCTGCAGTATTGTTCTCTTAGTGCTTTGTAGTGAAAACAAAAGTGGTTGAAATGCCTCTTCCACCCTTCTCTCACCTAGTAGAAAGTGGTCTGGGCAGGGGGATTTTAGACTTTTAAGTAAAATAACTTGGAAATATATGCAAATTTGTTACATAATTTCAAGGAAATGTTGTGACAAAAAGAGAAAAGTATACGTCATTCATCAAAAATGCGTTGAGCACTTTGATTTTGAAAACACAATGGACAAAACAAATCCCAGAGAGGTTGCAGTGAAATGGTCTAATAGGGGATGCAGACATTAAAATGGAAAACAGTCATCAGTCTGCATATCTATCTATGTATCTATCTATCTATCATTACCATCTATCTAATTATAGTCTGCAATATGTTTTATGATGAATTCAACTTGGGTACTCTGATATAAATGAGTTGGGGGCTGGAGAATATCACAGACAGTGGCCAAGGAAAATTTAAGATTGAAGCAGGAAACAGAAGAGTAAGAAAAAGTCACCGTATGAGGTATGAGGAAAATAACATTGCAGGAAGGGGAAACATCATGCGTGATACCTTGGTTTGGGAAAATATTTGGCACACTTAGGAACAAAAAGAGGGTTGGGGCTGGAACTTAGAGAGGGAGGAAGGAAGTGGAAGGAGGTGTAGTTGGAGAGGCAAGACTGTGGGAGCACTCAAGCATCCAGAGGCACAATAAAGATTCTGACCTTTGTTCAAAAGAGAATATAAAGACTTCAGAGGGGTTTGCACATTGCTCCAGGATGGGGCAGGGGTAAGGTGCTGCAGCTTTGTCTCGTTTCCATTTTTAGATTCCTCTCAGCTGCTGCAGAGGATGGCCTGGACTGAGGCACTGGTGAGAGTGGGGAAACCAATGAGGAGGTCACCACCATCAGAAAGATGGAGTACAAAGCGGGGTAGTAAGGGAAACAAACAGGAGTGGTAGAAGGTAGAAAAATAAAAGGACATGGTGATGGGCCGTGAGGAAAAAGAAAGACTCAAAAATGACTTCTAAGTTTCTGGCTTTAGCAATGGGTAAATGATGTAACTTTCAGAGATAGGAAAGGATAGGCAAAGAACTGGATTGGAAGGAAATGAGAAGTTTTGTACACGTTATGCTTGCGAGACTCATGGTTACCTCCAAGGGGAGATGTAAGGAACGTAAGTCGTTGGATACAGGAATCAGGTACTTAGAGTAGCCTGGCCTAGCAATATAAATGAAGAAATGTGATTATAATGAAGTACCCTCTCTGCTTAAACACCCTCAGTGGATTCCCACTGCTATAGCATGCAGTTCAAGGTCTTAAAATTGTTGTTGAAGCCCTTCTACGATCTTACCTTTACAAACTTATATGATTTGTTATACATACAATTATTTTCTGGATTCTAGTACAAGTTAAAATGTAAAGTGACAAATAAAATGCAAGATGCTCAGTTCTGCATGTGATCCTCTCTCTTCTACATGATAGTGTCCCCCGTGTATTCACACTTTGTTTTTACCTCAGTAATAACACTTAATAGATGGCAACACCATTTGTCTGTTTATAGTTCTGTCTACTCTACTGGAAAGTGTATTCGTCAAGGACAGAATAGTTCTTATTAATCTCATTATACTCAAGGCCTAATAGTCAGGGCCCAAAGTGCTTGACACATAGTACATGCTTAATAAATCTAACTGGTAATGCATATTAAACAGAGCAAATAATAATTAAATGTGCTTGGGGAGTGTTATGGACTCTGTGAGCTCAATTCTGGAGTACTGTTGAGTAGGGGCTGGGAATTCCATAAGAGAGTAAAGTATCTGCCCAGATATGACATACTTGATCTTCTGTGCAGTGTTAAATGGGGGTATGTAGTAGATTCTGTGTTTGGTAGTGATAGTTTTAAACTCTCCTGCCATGCTTGGTACTCAAGGGGGCAACTGAAGGGAGGAGATGTTATAAGGAAAAGAAACCCAACGTCCTTTTCTCCCCCTCGTAACTTAACCCTCACAATACTGCCATTAATAGAACAAGTAGATGCTGTTTTCTTTCCACTTCTAAACATATTTAGGCTGCTCCTCAGAGATTTCTTTCCCTCTTCAAGTCTGCCTTGGAAGTGAATTTTCAACTGATTTTATTTCTATAACAATACACTTTGGAGCCAAAGAGTACATTTTATGACTTGTTGTGGCTGGACTCCTCATTCTGTAGGGATGACCTGGCCTAGCCATGAGTACTCTTCCAGTACAGCCTGGTTCTTCTTCAGGAGAAATTAAAAAGATCTCCAGAACCAATGTGGTCTTTCATTGGCAACAAGCTCAAGAACTTTGCAGCATCTGGTTTGTTAGGTCTAAACTTTTGAATGGCATAGTAAGCCCCAGAAAACTCGGAGGTTTTAGATCTGCTTTATAATTCAGAATGTGAACAAGGCAATGTCTGGAAAGGCCTGTGCATCAAAAGAAAAAAGGAAATGTGAAGGGTGGTAGCTTGAGCTTATACTTTAAGAAGGTTTTCCTATTGTGTGGCAAAAGACAGAAACTGTAAGAGCCTGGAATAAAGGTTACAAATTCAAGTGCCATCAGAAGCCAAGAAAGCAAAGTGCAAGAGTGAAGTAGGCCTAGTATTAGACAGTGGAGCCAGCATAGTGAGCCATGGCCAACTGGAGAGTGCATGCCTGCCCTGCTCAAACCAAAAATAGACACAGTAATTAAAAAAACAAAACAAAACAAAAAACATGAGAGAGTGAGCCTTTAGGCATATACGTCAGATCATGCTACTCTTCTGCTTACAACCCTTCAATGCCCTCCCGTATCTCCCAGACTAGAATGTAAGGCTCTTCCATTGCCTTGGAGGCCCTCCTTGGACTGGTACTTCTCTGATCATACCCTTACTACCCTTTTCTGCTTCTAGCCACTCCAGCCCTTTGCCCTCCTCACTGCTCCTTGAATACAATCAGCATGTCCTGGTTTCAGGTTTCTCTACTTCTTGCATCGTCTGCCTGGAATAATCTTCCTCCAAACTGAACGTACATTCCATTGGTTTTGGCAAGTGTCTACTAAAATGGTGCCTTGTTATAGACAATTTCCCTGATAGCAATCTGCCTTCATCACTCTCAAGCTCCCTTACTTTGTGTTAATTTTATTGTATTTATCACAATCAGACATTTTATATTTCTGAAAACATCTGAAGCGAATATACAGTATTATTTCCATAACCACATTTTCTTAAATATGAGTTTGTGTTTGTGTGTGTGTATTTTACCAGTGCACCTTGGTTTATTCCTGATTAGATATTTCAATGTATGTTACATTGAAAAAGCTGGACATTGTGGGGTTTTAAGATGCAATTTTATTATTTTCCTCAATTTTGTTTTAAACAGCCTCTTTTGAATTGCTTCTCCCACCCACTGTATGAATTCTTGGACATATCTCCTTATATTCCA